TATATATATATATATACACAACAATATATACTCGGTCAAATCACACGATTGGAGAATATATATATATATATATATATATCAATTAAATATTAAATATATATATTAATTAAATATTAAATATTATAAATTGACAAAACCGACCGACTTCGGCCGATTTTATAATTAAATTAATTATAAAAATAATTTAAAAATCAATTACCGACCGATTTCGGTCGGATATGTGTATTCAAACGGTTAAAAGGAACTTAATGATACCGACCAAATTTTCCGACCGAAGTCGGTCGGATATTTCTAATTAAGGGTACAGAGAACGAGTTTTTTTCCCATTTTTCTCTTTACTCTTTCTCTCACTCTTTCTTCCACATCCGTAAATCCTTCCCAAATCCCACCCAAATCACCTCACCACTCCCTTCTCACCCAAAATCAAACCCCCCACTTCGTCTCTCCCGCGCCACCACTGCTTCTCCGTCACCACTGCTCCTACGCCACTGCCACGCCACCCACTGCCGTGCCACTCCCAAAATCATACCCCTCTCCTCTCTTTGAAGGTTAGTTATCTACATTTGTTAATTTTAGTTATTTAAATTCTTTCAATTGTATAAACTAGAGTTTACAATTTGGGATTTTTGAGATTTTGGGATTTTGTAACTAAAGTTTATTATGTAATTTGAATTATGATTAATATAACATGTAATGTATTTATTTTTTATGTAGATGGAATATCGTAGTTGGACTTTTAGGGCACATTAAATTATGATTTAGGATTTATTAATGTAACGATCCAACCGGTCGTTTTGCGTATTACAACCTTGTTCCCACATTTGCTGTTCAATTTATGCTTTACAGTAGTTATGTTACTTGCCGAGGTAAGTGGCTCGGGTCCGGTGAGGTTTTGGAATGAATTGGAACACTTAGTTCCAAGGTTTTAAAACCTAAGTTGAAAAGGTTAATCGGATATTGACTTATGTGTAATCGACTCCGAAATCGAGTTTTGATGATTCCAATAGCTCTGTATGGTGATTTTGGACTTAGGAGCGCGTCCGAAAAATTATTTGGAAGCCAGTAGACAAATTAGGCTTGAAATGGCTAAAATAGAAATTTAAGTTTGGAAGTTTGACCGGGGAGTTAACTTTTTGATATCGGGGCCGGAATCCAGTTCTGAAAATTTTTATAGGTCTGTTATGTTATTTATGACTTATATGCAAAATTTAAGGTCAATCGGACTTGATTTGATAGGTTTCGACATCGAATGTAGAAGTTAAAAATTCTTAGTTTTATTAAACTTGAATTGGGGTATGATGTTTGTTTTTAGCGTTGTTATGTGTGATTTGAGGCCTCGAGTAGGTCCGTGTAATGTTATGGAACGTGTTGGTATATTCGTACGGGGTTCCGAGTGGCTCGGGTGAGTTTCAGACGTGGTTTAGATCGATTTAAAAGTTTTGGAAGTTGCTGGAATTTTAGATTGCTGATGCAACCGCTTCTGCGGAAGCTTGGTCGCAACAGCGAGCAGACTTTCGCAGAAGCGGACTGGACATTACTGGGCAGGAGCCGTAGATGCAAAATTTTGCGCGCAGAAGCGGTGATGCTGATCGCAGAAGCGGAAGGAACCGCAGATGTGGAGGAACCTGCATAGAAGCGAGACCGTAGAAGCGGTCTTGGACATCGCAGAAGCGATCACTGCTGGCCAAGGTTGTCTGCAGGTGCTAGCGTGTTCCGCAGAAGCGATGGTCGCAGATGCGACCTATTGTACGCAAATGCAGAAATGCTGGGCAGAATGCCTTATATTCGAGGGTTCAACATTTTTACCCATTTTCGGATTTTGGAGCTCGGTTTGGACGACCTTGGAGAGGAAATTTTCCACACAACTTGGGGTAAGTGTTCTTGACTCCCTTGTAATTATATTTCATGAATTAATCTTCATTTTTGGCGTACGATTATCGAATCTTCAAGAGAAATTGAAGAAAATTTCTATAATTTCATAAAATAAATATTTGAGTTTTGAATAACGATTCGGAGTCGGATTTGAGTGAAATTAGTATGGTTGAACTCGTAATTGAATGGGTTATCGGATTTTGTGAGTTTCATCGGATTCTGAGACGTGGGCTCTATTGTTGACTTTTCGAGAAGAGTTGGAAATTTTCAAATATTGTTAATATATAAGCATTGGAGTAAATTGTAATTTATTCGCATGTTATTTGAATAGATACAGATAGTTTGGCTTGAATTGAGGAGATAGGAAGGCTTATGGAGGTTGAGCGCGGAATGGAATTTTCGGAGTATTGTTTATCTTCCTCGGCATTGGATTCGGCTTGTTCGAGGTAAGTAGCTCTTCTAAACTTAGAGCTGAAGGTATGAACCCTGAATATATGTGTTATGTGATATGTTTGGAGGTGACGCACATGCTAGGTGACGGGCGTGTGAGCGTGCACCGTAAAAATTTGTGACGTAATTGATTCCATGTAATTTTGTAGTCAAATAATCTTGGCATTATCCATGCACTTTCATTGTTAAAGAAATTGAGCTAAGAATTATATTAAAAATCATGTTTAGTCTACGTGCCGATATTTTTGGACTCATATGGTCGTGTTGCTATTGAATTAATTATTTTAAAATGAACATTTCATGCTCAGTCATATTCATCAATTTGTGAGAATATTTATGGGATCGAGTTGCACCCCACAGCAGGCCATATTGGCTTTATATATATTATTATTATGTGGATCGGGGTTGCCTGCCTGCAGCCGGCCTTATAGGCTTTATTATTATATGGATCGGGGCTGTCCGCCTGCAGCATGCCTTATAGGCTTTATTATTATATGGATCGGGGATGCCCGCCTGCAGCAGGCCATATCGACTTTATATCACGCTTGGGCTAAAGGAGCCCTTCC